TCTACCGGCCTGACGTCCAATCTTCTGACATGTTCCTCCGGCACAACATGATTTTCCTGCTTTAATTGTCTCATCCTGATCAAAGCATCCTGCGTCACTCAAAACGCATATTAAATCATAAACATATATCAAGTAGTTTCATCATCAAAATACGAGATTCAACACTTTTTTCCCACTAAATTACAAACTTGCATTCATATATTCTTTTAGCTGTTACATGTGACACTCGTGTGTTAATCATGATATTGTTATTCCTCCAGTCTGAAAGAGCTGCAAGAAAAGCCTCAGTGTTGCAGATGGCTACCATGTATACAGCTTTAAGTGGAACTTTGCTGAATGTTGGCGTCACATTGAGCAGTCAGGGAAACCAAACATTCGCAAATGGATCATTTATTGGTGCTGGTAAGTGGTTGATTAACTTGTTAATAAAATAATATTGTTTAATTGAACCTGTATTCAAAATATGAAATATGTCATTTTAAACTATATTAGAATCTCCATGGATGCAAGTTATCTTGCATTTGGAGCTTAGACTTTTTTTCAAGTCACATGCCTATTTGATGCAGCTAGCAGACCTGGATACATGAACAAAAACATGCACGATGATATCCGTAGTGGTTGTATGATGCTGTTTCCTCCTTTGTTTGAACTCTAATTCTTTCTCTCCCATTCCAACATGCTATACCAGTCCACTTCAGTGATCCTACCCACTTGTCCATCCAGTTCCTATACTCCTCTTCTGGACAACCCTTCTCCACCATCCCTGTATTCAGCAGTCTTTGCCAACCAGGCCTAGATCATATCTAAGAAGCTGCCTCATCACTCAACCTCCCCATGTTTATTTATCATAGCATCAGTAGCAGATGAATGAGTTAGCTTACCTACTCAGATGAATGAGTTTTGAGTAAAAAAGCCTTCAACTTGACTACCTAATATGCTCCACTGCCTTATTTATTTCGTGAATTCACCGTTCAAGAAGGTTTATCTTCATAAAATTTGTTTTGATTCAGTGCCCATTTCTGAACATGCAGGTGTTTTCCTGGCTTTATTACTCAGATCCATGCAAAGAGTAAAAATGCTCGACAAATTCGAGAAGATGCTCTGATGACTGGTCTGGTCCTGTATACATTTAGATGATGTTGGATAAAATCAATATGAATGTTAAAGGATTAGTTGCACACATCACACTGTCATGCCCACTGGGGCATTAATTGATGAATATTTCATTGTAATTGTCATCAGGCATTAATTTTACACGAAAGATTCAGAGAAAACCAATAATAGAATGTACCAAGATGCTTGATACTGTTCAACTGTACATGCCTTAGCTGAGAAGAGCAATAATTCACATTAGCTTTTATCTTCATAGTGCAAATGTATTTATTAGGAGCGGTAGGCTTTTCTGAATCTAGATTTTATTGCCAGGTCTGAATTCGTTGTGAGAGTATAACTAAATACATAACACACATTGTGATATATAATACGGTTCAAGATGAAAGGAAAACAGGTGGCAATTCTTGCGATACAAACCAAGATTCGTAATATCGTATCGTATTGGTATTTCGATCTGGGCTTAGTATCGATACGGTATGATATATCGAGCGATACATTCAGGTATGTCGAGTACTGCTACAGTGTTACAATGCACTACTATAGTGCTACAGTACATTCGGACCGGTAACAAACGTATCGACAACATATCGGATCGGTACATATCGTCCGTATCGGATGGTACGGCAGACTCTGATACAAACAAACCAACCAACTCCACGTGACTGCTAGTTTTATGACAGTGCCACTGCCACTACGCAAGACATGGAAATGTCCTGTAAACCACAAACGTTCCAACCTACATGTACCATACACCCCTACATGCATTATACACTGCAACCACATAATAGAATTAAAAGGCGACACATTCACTATGCTCCGACAGCGACTCTGCGTCCGGAAGCTTGCATACGCAGCGGAAGCGGTCCGCCTGCTGGGTCATGCCGGGGCTCCGCACACCGGCGTCCTCGGAGCCATCGTTGACATGGACAAGCACACCGTCACCATCATCTCTTTCTCCTCCTTGGGCCTTCGGTCCACATTCCATAACCACGACAGTGCCGGACTCGTACCGGGTGGGTAGCTTAACCACTTTCACCCTATCCTCCGCCTTCCCCTCCCTCTTCTCCCCCGTGGGAGCGCCTCCCATGGCGCGCGCTCCTCCCCCTTGGGTGGCCAACGCGAACTCCGACGCGGCGGTGCAAGCTGGGGTTGGACGGGCGACCGACGTAAAGGCAAAACCTGGATGGTTGCGTGGCTCATGCCGTAGGCGCCCACGTGGCTGCCGGAGTCAAAGGCGCCGCCCCTGGCTTTTCCCGGTATGGTTTCCTGAAGCACGAGAACCCTAATCTAAAGCAAATGCAAGGAGCATTCTCTCAGTAACATAAAAAAGGCCAATCAAGGATGAAATGGTATCACCATCACGTAAATAGACTTGAAGACAAGCCCGCCTATAGATCCACTAGAGCAAAGAAGGATATCAAGAGATAGCTTTCTGACATTCGAAGATATTAATATGAAGTACATCATATAGTTGCATGCTTGCTCAAACGAAACAGAAGCATAAACCTATTAAACCCTCTTCAGCATTCAGCCATTCATCCAACACTGCGATAAGAGCTACTAACAATCGCGTGGGGGCCCCATACGCCGCTCTTGTCGGAGGGAACAAACAGATGGAGACCGCTTATCCCAAAACAAACGGCTTCCGATGAACCGGGTTCTTGTAAAACGGGTTTGGGTCTGAATCCGACATAGCAATGTCAAATACAATAATCCTATTTCGAATATTTTTGGAATAATTTAATATTGCCTACCGGTCATAAAATGGATGAAGCAAATAAAAGCTTTTCTCGCCCAAAAATCGTCGGATAAAAATAATAAAAATGCGAAATAATAATATTATTATATCGGGCGAGACACGCACCCGATGTTTTTGGAGGCTCCTTCTTGCTTCTGGAATCTACTATGGCATCGTCTCTCATGCCCTGATCGATCCCGGTAACGTCGCTCGCTCTCTTCACCTCGCCTTCTACTGATTACTTGCGATTGTTCGGTGTCACTTCTTCTGGTTCCGCTTGTGCTCGGAAATCAATTGGAACCCCGGTTTGTCTCGATTGATTGGAGTTGCGAAGAGGACGATCGATACAGTCGGCTTGGGATCCGGTAACTTTTTCTTTGTTTTGCCTTTTCGGATCCGTGGATCTTCGATAACATAGAGGATTACAGGGGTTCCTGTTCCTGTAGGGTTCGTTGATTTCTTTTTATGTGTGTTTTCGGTTTCGTTGCGTTAGGTTTGATTATAACTTTGACGGGGATGCCCTTATTAGCTTGAAAATCTCGTGATTTTGCAGAAAGCCGATGATATTTTGGAGTAGATTAAATTGTTAATAGGAGTATGACGAGATGAAATTTAATGGTATATCTATTTATTTTTTGCCATGAATTTGAAATAGAAGATCTTTTCTTTGGGAATTTGATGGAGGAAAATAAGGAAATGTAGATTATTTTTATAGGGATCACAGTGAAGGTTATATTCGGAGTTCCTATGAAGGTCAGATTTGCATATCATCTTTTTGTTAGTGGTAGCATGTCAATGATCAGTGTGTGATGTTGATTAATCGGTGTTTCGATGTCCGTTTAGTTTCATTAGAACATGCTCTAGACTCTAGCTCATTCTAAATGTTCATCTCTTGTTGCTTTTCTATTGCCTGCTTCTCATTATTTTAGGAATCTGCCTCTCAAATCGTCAAACGAAGCCAATATAAATGTGTCCGTTTATTTTGCTTTGCTCCCCTGATATTACATACTTCCTGTAGCTTGTTAGACTAGCATTTTTTGAATGCAAGTTTACCTGCTAACTAAATTTCTTTTTTTCCTCAGATTAATTATTGGATTACACTTTGTGTTGTCTTTGGTACGTTGCATGTGAGTTTGAGCCAAAGGACAACATAAAATGTGGAAAAGGTTGTTCTATTGAAGATGTACTTGGCACTTCCACTTTGCTTAAGGTAGCATAAAACTATATAATTCATATTCACACCACCAAAATGCAGGTATGGAGTGTGATAACGAGCGGGAAATATCATGTTGCAGTGCTTAGAATGGCTCAAGCATTTTGTTGCTATACTAGGGAAGTGCTGTGATCTTGACTGGTACAGTCAGTCAAAAAGCCTCATCGATCCAGAACGGTTAGCCAGGGAAACAGTGTGTAAGTTGACAATTGACTGTGAGTTGCCCATGTTTGCTACTACCTCGTACATCTCTATCCTGTATTATCACTGTTGCTTGTGGGTCAGACTTGAATGGATTTTAAATATAGGTGGTATTTTTTTCCTGTTGTATTTATTATTCATCATTCCCAGCTGAAGTTCCACTTGATCACTCTGCAGTTAGTGTAAGTGAAATAGAAGCATTATATGAGCTATTCAAAAAGATCAGTAGTGCTGTGATTGATGATGGGTTGATCAACAAGGTAAGGCACACTAATTGTTTTTATTTAATAAATTCAACATTATGTTTGATAACTCCTAGATGTCTATACAATTCATATCTTTTGTTAGATCTGTAGTGTCACTCCCTATGAATAGTTGAGACAAATTGAGCCATCCATTCTTCTTAATTGGCAAAGGCATCCTATTTCTTTTGCCAACCACTATGTTAGGAATGATCCAAGACAGAATGAAATCAAATGTTCATCTATTTGGTTAATTTTAAATTTTGCATTGTAGCCTTGTGTGGTTTTATAGTTAATTTCCAGTTTCAGTTTATAAGATCTCATATCTTCAAGATAAATCCAGTGTTGTTAGTATACTTCTTTCACCATCATGCAGGAAGAATTCCAGTTGGCACTATTTAAGACTAAAAAGAAGGAGAGCTTATTTGCTGATCGGGTATTTTTGTCGCAACCTTTTCCCTTTTTTTTCATTCTTACACGTGTGTCTTGATTTGATTTACATTATTAACTTTTTGATGCCATAATTGGCACATAACTGTGTTTACACATATCAGCTGTGAGAACTTGCTCTATATTAGAAGGAAAGAAAGTCACATACTATCTTTTCTTGAATTTTGGTCTCATGCACAGATATCATTCATTGCTTTGGGGGAAAGCTCTAGACTTTGTGGAGAGAATCTTTTTTTTTCTTTTTGGAAATTTAAGCATTTGGTGTTGTTTGCAACTTTTGTCTTTCTTTTTTTTTTTTTTGCAGGTTGTTTTCTGAATTTTATAAAGCAACTTCATGTTTGTAGGACAAAGAAGAGGGGGAAAAAGATGGGTGATTTATGTGTTTGTAGTTAGGTCAACAATCTCATGATTCATGGATACATTGTTCCTTTTTTCAGAAACTGGGAGTTGTTGATTCCAACTATTCCATTAGAAAAGAAATGTTTTGAAACCATCGAATGACTAGTTTTTGGTCAATCAGTGAACAAAAATATTGTTAAATCCCTTGGTTATGTGGTGTCTTCTTAAGGTCCAGTCTCTTGGCAGCAAATTGGTGGTTACATTTTAGAAATAAATATGATGGTTTATGAACTGTGAAAAAAATTGAATTTCACCAATGTTGCAGGTGTTTGATTTATTTGACACAAACCACAACGGAATTCTAGGATTTGAAGAGTTTGCACGTGCTTTGTCTGTCTTCCATCCAAATGCTCCTATTGATGACAAAATTGATTGTAAGCCAAGATGTCTGCTTGTCTTCTACGATCTTGTAGGATGTTATTATTGATGACAGAAGCCCAGATTGATCTGTTGTCCTTCCATTATTGTTTTTTATTATTGTATCAATTATAGTGTTTATTGGAAACATCGTGAAAGCCTATGTTTGCAGACACATGATTTATAATTTTGTTCTTACATGTTGCATGTGAAATGTTTATAAACCCATATACATCTATGTCTGCATTCCAGCAGGAAGTTATCTAAATATTATTTGCATATATGTTTTGTACACTTAATATACCTTGTAACAAGGTTTGCCGTTTTGGGTAGCGGACCCATCTCGGCAATCTGTCTGATTGGTACATAACAGTCAGTACCGGTGTACTAACACATAGTATGCCAGTATATATTGGTGTTCCGGTGTGGAAGAAAAGGAGGGAGAAGAGGAAGGGGCAGTGGAGGAACAAAGGAGGAAGAAGAAAGAAGAGGAATGGTGGTGGAGGAAGAAGAAGAGAAGTAGCAGCGGCAGCGTACCTAGGAAGCAACTACAGCGATGAAGCGGTAGCAGCATCATACGTGAGAAGAGGGCTTGTGTTCGCGAGCCCTTTTTTTATTATATATAATGCTGGGTTGGACAGGACCCCACCATTATTATTATTTTTTATTTATTTTAATCGGACTGCTCTAAATGGGGGTGGTCTGTGTATCGACCCATGCTTGGACCTGTATGTACCGTACCATTTCGGGTGGTACAACAGTCCTTGCCTTGTAATATGTTAGTATCATAGATATCCCTTAATATGCTTTTGGTTGTTTTATATATATATATATATATATATATATATATATAACACACACACACACACACACACACACACACA